GCAGACACTGCTCGAGGTTGCGAGCTGTCAACGCCCAAAGTGGATCCAGCCATCCACTGCCCTCTTTCTCTTTCTCCTTTTCCGTTGCCATGCCCTCCTTCGTTTCCGCACGGAGGCGGATCAGTGCCTGAGTCGCGTCGTGTTGGTGGGTGAGAGGGCCTTACATCAAGGTTCCTGTTTCGCGCCATTTTCACTGCCCCCCATGGCCTCCCATGGGACGCTGTTTGACGCACTTCTCTGAACCCAGGCACCTCCATGCACGTCTCCTATTCTCCTCCTCCGCCTTCACTTTCCTTCCATCCCTCCCTGCCCCCCTCCCTCGCTCCCTCCTTTTCTTCCAATCCTTCTCCATTACCTTGATCCACGCCCTGGCCCGGTCCAAGCTCTGTACCCGCTCTAGGTCCTTCATCATCCAATTTTCGATTGCGGGCAGCAAAGGAACAATGGAAGGAGGATAGCTCGCACGGATCCGAGGGCAGGCCGGGCTCGCATGACTGGGAGTGTCGCACTCCAAACACCACTCCGCGTGCCCGTTGCCCCATCTGTACATGTAAAAAATGTGGACACTCTGTTCGGTCCCAAATTTTTGTGTATACACAAGCATAGGACCGTAAATGGGAGCGTCTCCTTCGCTCGTTCCATCGACTATAAAGGTACTCTGCGGAGACGGTCAGCACTTACATGTAAGCTTCTTCCTCCAAAAGCACTCGACCGGGCTCAAAACCCTGCGGAGGAGCGCAACAATAGCGCCCTTTTTCCTCGTTTTGTACTAATACAAGGCCAAACCGAGCATGCAGTGTGTTGGCTAGGTGTGTGTATACGGCTTTAAGGAGGGAGGAGGTCGGGCCAGCAAGGGAAAGGGCTGCTGCTGCCTTTTTCTTTTTCTTTTTCGACGCTCCTGATACCATACTTTTCGAAACTGTATGAAAAATGATGTGCATAGGTCACAAGAGTGGGTATTCTCATCTTATTGGATGAGATAACGCACACTGGCGTATGACAAAGCACTCGTCCCATTTATCGCTTCTATGTGCTTTCTCTCGAAAAGCAAAGCTGAAAACCTTGAGACATGTTCACGCCGAAACAAAAAAATGCTGTGAGAGTACAGGAGATGTATGGATCCTGCGCGTACATTTACTTGCAGCATTTACACAGGATCGGGAAATGTACGGACATGACAAGCGGTCAAGAGCCACATATTACTTTTTGGGGGAGGGAGGGAGTGAGGAGGTTCAATAGCCCACGGGCTAGGCAACAAAAACACCATATTTCTTTGCGAGTAAATCCCTGCTGAACGTACCCTCATGATAGCTCTAAAAGGAAGAAAAGAGGGCTTATCATAAAAGCTTGACATTGGTTCGTGGTCGCATTTTCCCTTGGAGTGCGGCCATGAAACATGGAGGGCTCAGTCCATGGGCCAATCGACGTCCTCTTACACGAATTGCTGACATGTGCATTTCTCTCGGTTTTAAAACCTTTTAATGCCATAAAAGACAACGTTAGACCTACTTCTATTCAGCATTGCTAATTAAGTTTGGCAAGGGGTAACTGCTGCAGATATTTGTCGTCATCGCCGTACCGCCTTGAGCTATCACTTAAGGCAGAAGATTGAAGATGACACTTGAGGCGCACAAAGAACGAAAGTGATAACATCTATCTTGTTTGTTGCAGTCTTTTCGATTTGACCGATCATGGTGAAATTATACAGTGCTGGTCTGAACCATCCGTGCAATCCGTTTCAAACGGCCTTGATCCTCGGTAGCAGCCGTCGAATCCTTCGTTCCACGATGCATCTATTCTTTTTTACCATGCACATTACCTAATATTCTTTTCGGATTTCTCCGTTGTGTCCCGTCTCTTTCTTTGTGTGACCTGCCTCGTAGACCCCCCCAATTCATCAACCCATCCCGTGCTACCCTCAAGCTTTTCTTATACTTTGATCGCGAGTCACCTCTTTGTTGGTTGTTCTTCGAACAGTGCTTGATTCTTCGCCGTCGGTATACAGCCTGACATGTACACTCCCGCCCCCTTCTTCCTTCTTCTCTCTAATCCCTGCCCCCACGCGTCTACATTCCCCCCCGGAGCCGCCCCTCGTTTTCCTCCTTGGCAGGATCTGTGCCGGTCTTCCCAGCAGCGCCTCCTTTCTTGGCCACGTTGGTGGTGGAGGCAGAGGGTGGGGGAGGAACCACTCCCGGGGGAAAAGCGCGCGTGCCCTTGGCACCTGCGAGGGAGGGAGGGAGGGAGGGAGGGAGGA